AAAACTCCAGAAAAGTGCAAATAGAGGATTAGACATCAACATGATAAAGCCTATTTATGACAAACCCACAGGTAACACCATACTCAATGGAGAAAAACTAAAAGTGTTTCCCTTAAGATTAGGAACAAGACAGGGATGTCCACTTTCATCAATTTTATTCAGCATAGTACTGGAAGTCTTACATACAGTTATCACACAAGAAGAATAAATAAAAACCATCTAAATTGGAAAAAAGTAGTTAAACTGCCATTATTTATTGATAACATGATAATAGATATAAAGAATTCTAAAGATTTCACAAAAAAGTACTAGAACTTATAAATAAATTCATAAAGTAGCAAGGTACAAAATAAATATATAGAAATCAGTTGCATTTTTGTAAACCAGTAATGAGTTAAAAGAAAGAAAACTAAAAACAATCTCAATTACAATTGCATAAAAAAGACATAGAAAGAAATCTAAACAAGAGTATATATAAAAAAAAATCGTACCTGGAAAGTTATAAAACATTGAAGAAAAAAATTTAAGAAGCCACATATAGTTAAAATGTCCACACTATCCAAGAAAACCCATAGACTCAACACAATTCCTATCAAAACACAAATGGCATTTTTTCACAGAAATAACACAAATAATCCAAATATTTACATGGAATTACAATATCCCCTAAATGGCCACAACAACCTTGAGAAAGGATGGCAAAGTTGGAAGTATCACAATACCTAATATCAAATTACACTACAAGCTACACTACATGTGCTCTATTCTATAGGAAGTGTTCAATGTGCACTAGAAAAGAATGTACATTCTGATATTTTAAGATTAAATTCTCTTGAAATAGCATTTAAATTCAACTGCTCTACTGTATCATTTAAGGCCACCATTTCCTTGTTGTTTTTCTCTCTGTAAGATATATCCATTGATTTCAATGTTGTGTTAAAGTCCCCTACTGTGATTGAATTACTGTTGATTTCTCCCTTTATGTCCATCAAGAAAACATCCTGGTTCTGGTATTAAAACAAACAAACAAACAAACAACAACAAAAAAAACAGACTCATACATCAATGAAGCATAACAGAAAGCCCCGAAGTACATAATAATTGACCTATGCCTATATGGTCAATTAATATATGACAAAAGAAGCAATAACATATGATGGGGGTAAATAGTCTATTCAATAAGTGGTGTTGGGAAATTTGAACAAATAAATGCAAAATAAATAAATAAAACATATCCACCATCTGATATCATATACAAAAATAAACTCAAAATGTGTTAGTTAAAATGTAAAACTTGAAACCATAAAATTTCTAGAAAAAAAAACATAAATAACAATTTTTTTCTTATATATATCCTTGGTCAAAGATAACAAAGGACAAATAAACAAATGGGACTATATCAAAATAAAACGTTTTACAGCAAAAGAAGCCATAAGAAAAAGAAAAAGACAAGCTGCCGAATAGGAGAACATATGCAGCATGATGCATCTGATAACTGGTTAATAACTAAATTTGTTAAAAACATATACAAATCAATGCCAAAAAGCCTACAAATAATCCACTAAGAAATGTGCAAAGGATCTGAATAAACATATACAGATGGCAAGTAGATAAATGAAAAGATGCTTGACATCAATAATCACCAGAGAATGCAAATTAAAATGAAGGCACTTGACCAGCCAGTGTTGCTCAGTGGTTGAGCATCAACCTATGAACCTAGAGGTCATCAACCTGTGAACCTGGCCAGGGAACATACAAGAATCACCAATGAATGCATAAATAAGTGCATGAATGTGTCTCTCTCTTCCTCTCTCTTTATAAAAATGAAATTTAAAAATATTCAATGAGATGTCACTTCACTCCTGTCAGAATGGCAATCATCCATAAATCAACAAACAAGAAGTGTTTGCTGGTGGTCTTTCTTGGCATCTGCAAGGGGTTCAGGAATATGAAGAAGGCACTGTGTGTAAATTAATCAAGAGTCCAGAGATGAAACATAATTTGGGGAGGCATTTGGGGGACCAGATGAGCTTGGCTAAAGAAACCAAGTTCTCCTATCTCTCCAGACTTATTGCTTTTCATTAACACAAATTGTCCTAAGTCAAGGTAGATATACACATCAAAGTTTAAGGTTTGGTATACAGAATCCATTGTCAGATTGGAGGAACTGCCTAAAGCTGTTCAAGTGTTTGTCCAGTAGGAGGCAATAACATGTAGGTTGAAATGCCCTCAGCTGCGGTTATGAGTCTGTTGGGAAGGACAATGAAGAATTATTGTTTAATGGATACAGTTTCTCTAGAATGATAAAAAAAAATTCTAAAAATAAATTGTGGTGATAGTTAAAAATAAGTAAATAAGTAAATAAATAAATAAATAAATAAATAAATAAATAAATAAAGCATCCTTTTCAGGTTTGGGGAAATGCCCTCAGCCATTTCCAGATGATTCAGCCCTGCTGATGTGTTGGAATTGGCTTCCAGCAAGTGTTGTTGAGGATGTGGAGAAATGGGAACCCTCATGCACTGTTGGTGGGAATGCAGATTGGTTTAGCGGCTATGGAGAATATGGAGATTCCTCAAAAAATAAAAAATAGAACTGCCTTATGACCCAGAAATTCCATCTCTGGCTATATTGCCAAAGAAACCAAAAACACTAATTTGAAAGTATACATGCACCCCTATATTTACTGCATCATTATTTGAAATTTGGAATGTAAAACAGTCAAAGACAAATAGCATATGATTTCATTTATATGTGGAATTTAAATAACTAAATAAACAAACAAATAATATAGAAATAGACTCATAGGTACAGAGAACAGACTGATAGTTGTCAGAGGGGGGAGGTTTGGTGAGCTCAGTAATAGATTAAGTAGTACTAATTGGTAGATACAAAATAGTCATGGGGATATGAAGTACAAAATGGAGAATATAATCAATAATATTATAATAACTATGTATGGTACTAGATGGGCACTTGAAACATTTGTGGGATCACTTTTTAAAGTATATGACTATTTAACCACTATGCTGTTTTAATTAATACAAAATAATATTGAATGTAAAAAATCATATATGTGTTATTTACATATATATATATACATAAAATATATGACTATTTAACCACTATGCTAAAATAATATTGAATGTAAAAAATCATATATTAGGCTTACATATATATGTTAGGCATATATATATATCTATACTAGGCTTTGATAGAGGATAATGGATGGAACACGGGGTTGGAATAGCTGTGGTGAAGACCTCAAGTAGAGGGTTTGCTGTGGAAAGAAGAATGACACGTCTTACTTTAATCCAAGAGGTAATGGGTAAAGAAAAGTTAAGGCAGAGAAGGTGGTTGGTAGAATTCACCTTGATCTTCTTAGATAAGGAGAAGATGAATAACTGATATTAGGAATAGGACAAAAATGAGCAAATTTATTTGCATACGGCATGGGTACAAGAAGTGGATGTCACAGAGCATAAAACTAACATGGGGTAATGTATATCTGTATTTTTTTTTTGTGAGAAGAGAGAGCTCGGTAGTCCAAGAGCATGAGGAAAGATACGGTCTGTAAGGCTATCCCAGAACTGAGAAACAGCACAGTGGTTGAGGGAGAGAAATGAGGGGCTGAGAACTATATTAGGTAGATATAAAACAGGGGACCAGATTCATGGGATAGAGTTTAAGTAGAGAAGGAGGCAGGTAAAAAAAAAAAAATGAAGTGAAAGAAGCTTGGCTCAGCAAGCAGAAAAGGTGAAAGGTTCAAGTAATTTCTCTGAGCCTAAGTTCCTCATCTGTAAGTAGGGGAAACCACGAGCATTGCTTTATTGCCTATAAGCATGGAGTATGATAAGAAATACACAGATTCATTGGTTGTGATCAAGTTCCTGACCAGATGGGCTAGGAACTTACTTACAGAGAGGTGAAAATTACAACTTGTTTCTCCTTAAAGTACACATTCTTGGACTTTCTGGACATTCTCTGCTCTCTCTGCTTGACCATATTGTAAACTCTCATAGAACTGGGCCAGTATTCATATAATAATCTCAAAATGAGACAATCCTTGTTTCTCAAAAAATTAACAGACCAAAACCTACAGCATGCACATTGTCATTACAACCCAACTTGTAAAACAAATCCTTTCAGTCAAATGAGGAGTCTCAAACTAACATAAGTCTGCTGATACAATTGGTGAGATCCAGTTTGATGACATTCCTTATATAAAACTATTCTCAGAGGATAGTGATTTTTAGGAGGTTCTGAGGAAATTTCCCTAAAAGCAGTTTGTTCCCAAAATGTTTTGATGGGGAAATACATCTTTCCTTCTAAAGAATCTCTTGGAAGGAAGCAAGAGTCACTTAGATATATTATTGCTGGGCTGTTCATTTAAACCCCTGTCCCTACTATATATATATTTCAGAAAGGAAGGAAGAGGGAGAGAGAGATAGAAACATCAGTGATGAAAGAGAATCATTGACTGTCTCCTGTATGCCCTCTACTGGGGATGGAGCCCACATCCTGGGCATGTACCCTTGACTGTAATCGAGCCTGGGACCCTTCAATTTGTAGGTCAATGCTCTACCTACTGAGCCAAACCAGCTAGGGCCCTACAGTCTTTATGTACACAGTTTGTAGTACTCCCGGGATAATGCTGTAAGAAATAATCTTGATTAACCAGACTTAGTCTTCATTGCCACCTAAACTATAACTTATAGTTGGCTTTTGCAAAAAGGTAGGAACATTGAAAGAAACTATATATCTAGCAAATGTCAATTTTCCCTTTACCATCTTCATCTACTTAACCTACAGCAGGACAAGTATTATCTCCTGTCCTATTTTCCCAAGTCCAAAATTTTTCTTTCTTTGTGATTTTACAACCCAATACCCCTTCCCCCTCACACATCAGTCTCTCTTCTCTGGAATAAAGACATTCTACTGAGGTATATCTAGAATCAGATTGTCCATGGATATGATCACCAGGAGAGAGGGTTGCTCACCTTTGACCACAAACTTCACAATGTTGCTGCGTTGCTCAGAGCCTACTCGGCCCTTAGCAGTACAGAAATAGGAACCTGAATTATCCAACACTGCAGGCTTGAAAAGTAAGGTACTCAAGGTTGTTACTATGATAGGTTCTGAGTTGTTTGTCTGTTCCTTGTACCAAACATAACTGATGGGAGGAGAACCCTGAGCCTGGCATTGAAGGCTAATCCTCGTTCCCTGGGGCACTGTGAAGCCATAGCCATTGGCAGTTGTCACTGTGGGCTTGGAAACAGGGACTGCAAAGGGAAGACAAGAGAAGAGGCTATGGTAAGTTACAAGAATATGGGAACACAAAGCTGAAGCATATTTTCCGAATATAGGGATATGTACATATCTACAAAGGGAACTAAAAGGAGCATATAGGACTATGTAAATAAAAATACCTTACTTTAGAAGATTAGGTACTGTTTTGTATTATCTGGGTTTTGGACTACCTGGAGTTAAAAATCAACTGACTGTAAAAAAGATAATATAGCTTTTTTTAAGCTCGAGTAGTTTTGGGATTGTTTAGCTTTTGAATTACAGGAGATATATGTATAATTGTCAAGTCAACAAAACTCATCTAAGCTGGCCCTTGCATCCCTGTCCCCAGAGCTTCTATGTCAGCATCAATTCAATATCTAATGTCTTGATCAGATATCCTCATTTTTATGAATTTTAAGACTCAAAGCCCAAAGGGGACAACAAAACTGTTGATGCAAGAATTTCTATGACACTCAAGAGATAGAGATTTGAAGGCCAAAGACCCTTCCCAAGATTTTTTAAATTATGCCATAAAAGTGTCCCTGAGGATACTTTGCCTATACACTTACTCTGATGAGCACAAATGTCTCTGGGTTTCTCAAGGTTTTCTAGTATTATAGTCTTTTATTGAATCTTTGCCAATAAGTACTTTCTTATCCCCACAGTGACTCACGTTTCTGGACGCGAAGCTCAATGATCTTATCTCTCACCACTTGGTTGCCATTAGGAGTCTGCCAAGTGACTTCACAAGTGTAGTGGCTCCGGTCATCCATCTCCAGGGTCTTCAGTTGGAGGGACACATCTCCTAGAACCTCACGGTTAATGTGCAAGCGGCCCCGGTACTTTGCTTGCTGGATATGATCTCCAGAGAAGTCACGTAGGAAGATGGTGATTGGGTCTGAGTCACGTCGTACCAGCCACTTTACCAAGACTTGGGTGTAGCCTTTCAGAGGAGCAAAGGTGCAAGGAATATTCACATCCCCTTTCCAAGGCCCTGTCACACTCTCAGGAGCTTCAAGGATGGGATAGCCTGAAGATGGGCAACAGAGGAAGAATACAGATGTAGATGGCACACCCACCTGGGAGATAGGGTGGCTCTTCTCCACTAATTTTCCTCCAGCTCTACCAAATCTCCCTCCCCTTTTCCTAAAATTATTCTCATACTCCCCTCCTGTGGAACAGAGCATAATTCTGCTCTGAGGACATCTGGAGCAGCTGAAAATGCCTTTGTCTACGTGTTTGTATGTTTTCCTTCTAACCTCGGGGGAACTGCGAGGCCTGGCTCATGTTATCCTCTTTGGGAACTTGCTGGGGATTCTCACATAGATCACTCTGCTCTGTCAAGAACATGGAAAGCCAGTCCCAATTTCCCAATCTTGGAAGTCATTTTTAGTATTGAGTCAAACATGACTTTTCCATCTCAGAATAGAGTTATGGGACAGAGTTAGTAACCAGACTTCTAATAATCTCATGTTATTCTAATTTTACTTTTTTTATTCCCCTCTCCTTTCTTCTACCCATCCTTTCACCTTTATCCTCTTTGTTCTTTTTTTGTGTTCTTTTCTCCTCCTCTTCCTATTTATTCAGTAGTAGAATAAAGGTAAAGTATATGGTAGGCACAGGGCATCACAAGAAAAGTAACATTATACTATTCCTCTTGTTCTTTTATTTACAGAGTGAAGGTAACCTCAATAGCATTAACTTATACATTACAACAATCCCTATTATATTAAAAAAAAAAAACCTAAAAAACATTGAGTAGGAGTACCTAGTAAATTCAGGAGAGGAGTGAAAGGCTGCATGATGAGTAAGAATAACACCAATATAAATCCAAGGTCTGCTCTACCATATATTTTGCTGTGTGACCATGGGTAAATTGCTAAACCTGTCTGAGCTTTATCAATAAAATGGAGGTGATAATAAACAGAAGGTTACTATGAAGATAAAATGAGCTCATAGGTGTTAAATAACCTAGCATAGTGGTTGGCATTCAGTAGGTGTTGGATAAATGCCAGTCCTGTCCCATGCTTCAAAGGAAACTTCTCATATTTGTCTTGATTCTTCTTACCTTATAGAAGTCTTCACTATGTTTTCTCTAAGGTGGACAGATCAATTAGATTGGATCAGAGTAAGCTTTAATAATGACCTAAAAGAGAACTTAAGGCATGAGCAGGCAAGGAAGTCACCCTTCATAGCCTGATGGAACCCACCAAATTATGGGCAGGTAATAGGCCATCCCTGGTTTATAGGGTAGCCAAAAAGTGCATAGTAGCCTTTTGGCATGGAAGTCAATGTGAAATGTTGGCCAAATTAAGCAATACTCCTCGCTTTCCTGGAAGATTGGTTAGGGAAAATCTATTTCAGGAAAGCATCAACACTTGAGTGGATGCTCTACACATTATGGAACCATGAAAACCACCAAATAGTTAGGGACCTAGTACAACAGGTCTTGGGGTGCTGAAGGCAAATTCCAGCAGGTCATAATTATGCAAGAAGTTCATCAGAAGTCTGATGGACCTTGGGGCTTCAGCAGGGCTGAAAATCTGCATATTATTACCTGCTGCTGAACAGCTGTAACCATTTTCCCTAACCTGATAATCTTTTCCTGTTTATGAAACCTTACCTTTGATATGTATATCTGCTTTCTTAAAGGGCCACTGTGTTTTCCAGTGAATAAAAAGCTGTGGGTCCAGAGATTCGGGGAACTTAGTCACTAGAGCTAAGTTTCCATCTGGCTCCCCAAAATGCTTTCCAAATTTATATTTCTTGTATAGTCTCTATTAATTTATGCTCAGCCCTTCTCCAGATTCCTGAATCCTTGCAGCGAAAAGACTGCGGCATTGGAGGACCAGGCAAGATAGTATTTGGAGATTTCTAGAATTGCATAGATTTACGGGTTTTTAGAAACCACTTAGTCACATTCCCTAATGGTATATATGGGCAAGGCTAAGGCTCAGAGAGAGAAAGATCATTATCCAAAGATACACACATAGCAGAAACAGATCTTGGCCTCTAAGCATAGAATAAAGGCTTTCAGAAGCTACTACCTTCTTACCTTTTTACTAACTTATTAAACTTACTAAGGGGTTTCTGGCTTCAGTTGTGGCTAAAGCCAGCAATCCCCTTATTTGGGCCTACTTGGCATGGCTTAAAGGTATATTATCTTATCCTTGGATAATGTTCTCTGACTGCCTGGAAAATAATTCTCCCATCTGTTGGCTACTTTCTAAAAAATCTTTTCCAAGAACTTTAGAGCCTTGCTTTTTTCCCTCAGGGAAGAACTTAAGTTTATTCAAATATTAGCTCCCTTCAAGAGAAATACCAGGAATGATCATTGACTCAAAAGGCTTTGTTGGAAAGGGTTTAACTTTAAAAAGAGGGAAGAATACAGGGGCCCATCCTAGTCCAGAAACTGGAGTTGGGGGGGAAAAAAGTCTGGGGCCTGTGTAATGGTACTAAATTAAAAAAGACCTAGTTTTCTGGATGTGGACCCCTTTACAGAACTTGGTCTAGATCCCTTTTTGAATCTTTTTCCTCCTACCATTACACAGAGGGTGAGATCTTCCCATGACCCCACATTCCTGTGTCTGGACACTCTTCTTCTTTTGTGCTGCCTCCTAGATAGATTATTAACTTGTATAATAAATGTTTATAAAATTTTATAATATTCATAAAGTGAAAATATTATTATTTATTTTTATTATGATTATTTCAACATATGCTTTAAGCTTAACAGCTGATTTGGGCCCCTAGAGGCTTTTCAGAAGTGAAGCCAAATAGTCTAAAGAGCTGTCCAGTTATCAGGGCCCTTTGAGGCCAGCTAACATGATCCCCTCACTGTACAAATGATCTGGGTACACTAAGATCCAGGGAGAGGAAGGCATTATTGGTCATTCAGTATGTCCTGAATCTCAGGTCTTTTTTATTTGTTTATTTATTTATTATTGTTCTTATTTTTTTTTCATTGTTTGTTTTTTGTGAATCTCAGGTCTTACAGTGTAAAATCCTACACTTAAATGAAAGCCCTGCTTTCAGGTTTGGAGGACCTCAGAGTTTGGGAATGATATAATAAACATATGAGCTCTAACGTGCTGTCCACACATGATTTAAATTTAACATTTATAAAATATTTCTATAAGCCCAGCCCTGCCTTTATAAGTCCCACCTCAAACCAACACATTTGAAGAAAGGTGGGGAAGTGCACTGTAAAAGGTGTTAGAAAATGAAAATATTGTAGCTCTAGAAATAACACTATTTTTACGAGCATTAATTCTGCCACCAATGCTTTTCCCATTTAGGTGACTTAATTCTAGCTTGAAGTGCTAGAATTTGATGGATCATAGAGCCCCAAGATAGGATATCCTTAATTGAGTCAGTTATGGTAAGCTGGATTCTTTCTGACCATACAAAGGACACAAAACTAATACCATCCAACATCTATATCTAAAAATATGAAAGAAGCAGGGTGCAGCAAGAATTCCTTAGATTTATCATAGGTTGCATTTAGTTATTACTCAGTCTTATTTTCTTAACAGACTATCTCAATTCTCATGGATATAAAGATGGAAGAAGACCCAAGGAAGTAATGTTACTATGCTATGGTCAAACCTCTTTTGGAATATGTGTCCAACATTAATTTTCCACTATTACCCCAGACACTCTCAGCCATGTTGACAGGGAAGTGAGTTACCCAAGAAGATTGTAAGAAAGTAAGTTATGTGAAGACAAGTTGAAGGATGTGGGGCTGTTTATCTTGAATAAGAGATGGGTCAAGGGGACATGATATCTCTTCTCAGAAATGTTAAGGGCTGTCACAGTATAGAGGAAACAGATCTGATCTGTGTGTATCCAAGAAATAGTGCTAGGACATTGGAGAGAAGTCACTGGAAAGTGCTTTTAGTTCAATATCAGGAATAACTTTCTAACAGTTGGAGATTCCTCTGAATAAACTAGATGGCCTGGAAAAGTAGTGAACTAGCAGTCACTGGAAGTGTGTGATCAGATAACAATGAAGGATAAATTGAGGTTACTTTTTAAGATCCTATCTACTTCTTCAACAATATTCCTTCTTTGGGAGGTATGTGTATTAACAGGGATCAAAGCCTGAAGTTATAATGGTAGAATTTCAATTGAAAGACAGAAGATGGTGGAGGAATTTGGGAAGCATTGGGTACCTTTTGAATGCCCCAGAGATAAAAACAAGAGCCATAAAAGTATTTGAATACTTTCCAAGAAAGGATCCTTTTCCATTTATATGAAAACTTACCTCCTGGATCCTTCACCACCCTTCAACTACCTCCCTCTCTTCTGACCAAAGCTGAGAGTCTTTAGTACTGGCTGAGAAACTCCTGCTCAGCAAAAATAGGCTTTCCTCAGTAGGCATTCAATCCCACCCCCCCCACGCCCCAGTCTTTTGCCTGTGCCACTAGTGGCATCCAGGTGACAATTTTCTGCCTTACCATAGGTGACCATCATTAGGTGGCCCAGGAACAACAGGCCCAGCAAGAGCCCCATCACAGCCAGAGCCACTTCTGTCCTTTCTTCCTGCCTCCTGCTATCAAAGAGGTTCGAACTCCTGATGGCTGCCAGTGTCTGTGCCTGATAACTTCCCTTCCTTCCTCATATCTCTCACTTAACTTCCAGTCTCATCTCACATTTCCCTTCCTTCCCTATTTCAGCACAAGTCATATGAGCATTTCCCTCCCTTTCTTGCCTGGGGTTGGAGGTTTCATGGTGAGTGAAGCAACTTCTCTCCCTGCTAGGTTATTGACTTGACTTCTCTGGAGCTAATAGGACCCTCTGACCTTAAAGTTCACAGGATGTGTTTATTCTGGGTTTCTTCCACAAAACTTAGATATTGGTGGATGAGTATGCTTCCTCTAGCATGGGGGCATTTACCTTTCTGGTGGGCCTAAGGAAAAGAGATCAATTTCGCTGGCCAGTGTAATATTCAGCATCATGCTGTTAACTCCTGCTTGCTCAGCTAGATAAGAATATCATGGAGAAATATACCCCCATGTCTAATACACTGAGTGGCCAGATTATTATGATCTCTGAACGCATAATAATTTGGCCACTCAGTGTGTGTGTGTGTGTATATATTAGAGGCCTGGTACATGAATTTGTGCATGGGTGGGGTCTGTCCAGCCTGGCCAGGGGGAGGGGACATGGGCGGTTGGCTGGCCTGCATACTGGTTGAACTCCTGGTCAAAGGGACAATTTGCATATTAGCCTTTTATTATATAGGATATACACTGGTGGCCAGATTATTATGTGTTCAGAGATCATAATAATCTGGCCACTCAGTGTAGTTTACATTCAATATTATTTTCTATTATTTTCAGGTGTACAGCATAATGGTTAGACAGTCATAAGCTTTAAAAGTGCTCTCCTAATATTCCCAGTACCAACTTCACATCATATGTAGTTATTACATTACTAGAGGCCCAGTGCATGAAAATTCATGCATTGGAGGGGGGTTCCTCAGCCCAGCCTGCCCCCTCTCACAGTCCAGGAGCCCTCAAGGGCGGGAGACAACCTGGCAATCAAGAGAAGGCAACGCCCCACCACACCTCTGCTGCTGCCACTGCTGGCAGCACAAGCCTCGCTGACCCTGGTTACCTGAGCCTTGGGTGGCCCTGGGTGGTTGGGCAGCCACCATCAAGGCTTGCCTGTGCCTTGGGAGGACTCTGGAGGCATATGTGTGGAGCAGCAAGGCCAACCTGGAGCAGGTCTGGCTTTGCTGAGTGTCTGCTGCCCCAGAGGGGCTGAAGGGACTGAGCACTGCCATCTTGTGGCTGTGGGGGCCACCATATTTGAAGGTGGGGAAGTCAATTAGCATATCCCCTCCTTATTGGCTGTGGGTGCTGCCATCTTTAAGGGCAGGGCAGTCAATTAACATATTCCCTCCTTATTGGCTCTGGGGGCCGCCATATTTGCAACAGCATGAGGGTTAATTAGCATATTTACTCTTTATTAGATAGAATTATTGACTATATTCCCTCTGTTGTACTTTTCATCTCTGTGACTATTTTGTAACTCCAATTTATGCTTTCAAATCCCTTTTTTCACCCAATCCCTCAACCTTCCTCTTCTCTGGCAACCATCAGTTTGTTCTCTATATCAATGAGTTTATTTTGTTTGATTATTTTGTACTTTAGATTCTACAAATAAGTGAAATTATATTTGTCTTTCCCTGACTAAATTATTTCACTTAGCTCAATAACCTTTATGAATCACTTTTTCTTACAGCTCCATCTCTTTGGTGGGAAGGGTTCATATTAGTGCTCATAAGGGATCTTTTATTTATTTTTAAGGAAAAATTAAATCTATTAGGTTGAATTTTTCAATGACTTTCCATTGATACAGATCCCTGACTGCAAGAAAATGACATTAAGCCTCCCAGGAAGCTTAATTGCTTCTCTATAGGCTCTATAGTTATTGTAAGTCTACCAGCACTCTACATCTAGGTTTGGCACTGCCCACAGTCTACTAAGCTTAGAAAATAAAACATGTATAAAGGAGAAATTCATTCAACAAATTAATACTGACTTACAAATAACATATAATCTTACCTTTCTTTTTAATTAGAAGAATAACAGACATCTTGATTGGAGAATGGATGAGCTTTGCAACAAGGTGGAGTAAGACTCCACAAGGAAACATTATCTCCTCTATATGCTTGCCAAGAGGTGATTATATACACATGATTGAGGTATCTGCAAGGGCTAAGAGGAGGCTCAAGAATTTTAAGCCTTGACATTATCACATGGAATTCTGCCAAACTACTCTGATTCCCAGATTCAATCACCCTTGCCTCATTGTCACTGCTTTTTGGTTACTTCTTTCAGTCCACCTCTCTGGATCTTCTAGTCATTCTTTCTTTTTGAGTCCTCACTCAGGGAACTCTGAACTTTGTAATTTCCAGCCAATACCCTACACCATTACCACCATATATCTACACACACACAGACACACTTTTTCCTCTACATCAGGGATAGGGAACATCTGGCCCATGGGCCATATGAGGCCCAGAAAATTATTTGGTCTGGCCCTGCAAAAGCATTTGAGATGAATTAATTAAATGTTTGACCAAATATAGCAGGCTAATTTTTAAGTTGATAACTTTGTATGGCCTACGAATGATGTTATAAATACCTAAATGGTCCTTAGCATAAAAAAGGTTACACATCCCTGCTCTACATCATGAAGATCTGAAGGCTCATGACCCATTAGCTTGATCTCAGTTTCCCACTGGCCTGGTGGATTTGTAAGTTTAAAACTACCCTCTTGCTTTCTTTTTAGAATCTCTGAGATCCGGAGATAAATAAGTATACAGGGAAGATATATAGCATTCTTCTGACAAAGACATCCAGTCCTGCAGTGTGCTCCCTGTTGAGCAAGAAGAACACTGAAGGGGAAGTCAGGAAGCACAGAGACAGATCTGGTTCTGCATTTACTTCATTCTGAGACATTGGCCAAGTAAAGCCTCCCTGAACCTCAGCTTCCCTAATTTTAATCTGAGCACTATTAGATTTGATGTTTGTATAGCTTCAAATTTTGAAAAATCAAACTATACATATAACAACTATAGCAATGATAGCTACTTTTTGTTATTTGTTTAAACATATATTGAACATTTTTTTGTGCCAGGCATGGGGCAAAGACACTGAACACAACAATGATTAAGACAAACTCCTTCACGGAGCTCACTGTCTAATACTAAAAGGCGCAGAGTGGTAAATGACTTTTCTAGTGGAAGAGGATTAGCTAGATACTTGGAAATGGGGGACTAGAGCTGGAGAGGGGTCAGGGGACAACTAACTCATCATAAGTAAACTAATTTAAGAGCAATGTTACATACAGAAATATATTATAATATCTGCTGGCACAAGGTTAAAATAGGGGAATATGGACACATATGTAATACCTTAATCAATAAAGACATTTTTTTAAAAAGGTTAAAATGGTTTCCAATTTTTACCATGATTAAAATCCTGTCTTGAAATCAATTAAGTCACTACTTGATGGCATTTCTACACTTTCCCCAAAGGCTTGGGGAATGCCACTGGTCTGCTGAGACACAAAAACTGAAAGTAGTCTGAAATTCAGGTCTAGCATTCAGAATCATTTTGAAATTCTTTAATTAAATCCATTAATTTTAATTGTATAGCATATTTATGATACTTCTACATGTAGACGTTTGGAAAATAATTCTCCTCTAACCCTCATTTAGAGGAATCTAATAAGTTATAGTTAACACAGAAACTAGAGAATTTGTTACTTTCCATATATACATTATTTGAATTATGCAATAGGGAAGATTTATCTTAGAAATATTTTGTAAGTAATCTAAATGTTATGCAGATATATACAAAGACATCACATTTAGATTCCTGTATACTCCCATCCCCTGTATAATAGTTAATTACAGACATGAACCATGATAAGGCAATTTATTTCATGATCATTAAATGAAGGGGCATAGTCTATGAAGAATTGTCCATTTCAGCTCTGACCATCTGTTATTGTTGTTTTTATATATTTTTTTTTGGTTTGTTTTTAGTTCCTGCTATATATCCTATATAATAAAAGGGTAATATGCAAATCAACCCAACAGCAGAATGACTGGTTGCTATGATCTGCACTGACCACCAGGGGGCAGGCGCTCAACACCAGAAGCCCTGAGCCAATCTCATTGCTGGTGAGTGCAGCAGCGGTGGTGAGAGCCTCTTCCACCTCTGTGGCAGTGTTAAGGATGTCCAACTGACAGCTTGGGCTCATAGGGAGCATGCCTAAGCCATCAGTCAGCCATCCCCTGAGGAATCCCAGACTGCACAGAAGGGAGGTTTCCCTCAGCCTGTACTGCACCCTCTCCAATCTGGGACCCCTTGGGGGATGTCCAACTAACAGTTCAGGCCCTCCCCTTGCAGCCTGATGGTCCCCAACTGCCTTCCTCTGCTGGCCAGTTCACCTCCAACTGCTCTCCCCTACTGGCTATCTTGTGGTGGCCATCTTGTGACAACATCATGTGACACTACCTAGACTTTTATTATATAGGATATGACAGTATTACAGATATCTCCCATCCCCCCTGCTTAACCCACTATCCCCAGCCCCCACTCCCAGGTCTTCACCACCCTATTGCCCATGTCCATGGACTATGTATATAAGTATACAAGTTCTTTGGTTTATCTCTTTTCATCCCCCCATCTCCATATCAAAGTATGCCAGTCTGTGCCATGCTTCCATGCTTCAGGTCTCATTTTGCTAGTCAATTCATTATGTTCATTAGATTCCACAAATAAAGGAGATCATGTAATATTTGTCTTTCTCAGATTGGCTTATTTCACTTAGCATGATACTCTCCAGGTCCATCCATGCTGTCCCAAAGGGTAAGATATCCCTATTTTTTTTCAGCTGCTAGTTTTCCATTGTCCCACATATTTTTTATCCATTCATCTACTGATTGACAATTTGTTTTGCTTTGTTTTTAATATATTTTATTGATTTTA